GCTCGGCAGGGATGAGAGGCACAGGAGGTTGCGTGGGCCTTCAGGCGGCCGAAACCGCCGGGTGCCGAGCTTTGGGGACGGGCGAGAGGAGCGGCGCTGCCTCTGCCCGCCCCGTGACTCAGCGCTGCGTGCGATGGGCGGGCCGCGCGGGGCCGAGCCGTGCTGAGCAGAGCTGAACTCTCCCTCCGACACGGAGCAGGAGCCAAAAAGAGGCTTTTGTTTTGCTTCCGCAAGTTGATGAAGAGCGGGTGCTGTCTGCGTTTGCCTTGTCCTTTGTCAGCTGTGAGTGCTGATTAAATGGATGTCGTTTCAGTGCCCCTTTTAGGATGGCTGGCTAGTTGGGAAACCCGCGGGCGGGGCGGCTGGGTGATGCCCGCCGGACGGTTCGCTCCCTGCATCCAGCGAGCTCTCCTGCACACAGAAAGGATGGGGAGTAAGAGAGGGGCTCGGAAGGACGAGCCCAACATCGCCGTGCTGGAGACAGCGGGATGGCAGGAGGGGTTGCAAACAAAAGGACATCCAGACCCTGATGCTCTGAAGGACAGAAGCTGCCCCCGAAGACTTTGGACTCCTGTCGCATTCCAGATAAATATAGCCGAGTCAATGTATCTGCCGCACACACTACAGCGCTGTGAGCCGGCGGAGCTGCCCCACGTGTCGCAGGCTGGCTTGGAGGCTGCCTCTGCCCTTCAATCCTCCTCCTGACGTGTGCCAAAGCAATCCCCTTCAAACCCCACGGGTGGGGGAGGGATGGAGGAATTGCAACTTTTCAGGACTAACGGGGCGAGGCGGCCCCTGAGCTGAGCGATGTGTCCGCCAGCCGGCTCGGGCTGCGGGCCCCAGGTAAGCCAGGGGCAGAAAATCCCGACCCTGTTCACATGCAGGGATGGAGCAGCACCGTGCAGGCTCGCTGCGAGGGCTGCGGCCGCCAGAGGGTGCAGGCGGCCCGGCCGCGGGGCAGTGCAGGCTGAACTCTGCTAGTCCTAAAGCAAATTCCTTAAACCCGCCTCGGAGGCAAAGCGAAATGCCCCTGGGCATTGCTACCAGAGGGCTTTTTCCTCTTCTTGCCTTCAAATCAAGACAGAGCCAGTGGAAGGGACAGCTCTCCGCGCTCAGGTGCTATTTCTGCTCCCAGGCAAGGGGGGGGAATAAGGTGAGCCGCATGTTACGCCAGAAGATCAAGGCCACCTTTCATAAGAAAGGGAAACCAGTGGAGCCAGTGAGCTGGAGATGCACCAACAAGACAACGCCAGCGGTGCAAACAGGACCCAAAGCAAACTGCAGCGGTAGAAGGAGTCTTTGTGAACACTTCAGGAACCTCGTGTCCAACCTCAGGCAAATGGGAAAAACCTCCGAATGCTCGACAGCGCGTGGTTGGACGGAGTTCTCTGCGCGCAGGTGTGTGCTTAGCATTGGCTAACGTTGTTTGATGGTGTTTATCTGGCTGTCTGCAAGCAGGCAACTGCAGGAAGAGTCAACCAGTGTCAGAGAGGGCTTTGTCTTCTGCCAGCAGGCCAATATGACGAAGGCACCCGTGGAGGCTGATGGTAGCTCTTGGCCTGCCCTGCTCCTTCAGGCTCTGGAGCTCATCACATCTGTCTGTCTGATGCCCTTGTCTACCTTGAAGATGCAATGGGACCAGTGAGTTAGCTTCAGGTTCTCTCTCATGGCATGGGGGATGAGACATGCAAGGATCTGCCTCTGCTCTGTGCTGGGAGACGTCACCTGGAGCACTGTGCCCAGATGGGGAGTCCTCAGTACAGGAGAGACACGGAACTGTTGGAGTGCATCCAGAGGAGGGCCACAAACCTGATCCACGGGATGAAAGACCTCCCTGCAAGGACAGGCTGGGCCTGTGCAGCCTGGAGAAGAGAAGGCTCATAGCAGCCTGTCAGTATCGAAAGGGGCTGTAAAAAAGAAGAGGACAGATTCTTCGTGGGGTTTGCTGTGATAGGACAAAGGGAAATTATTTCAAACCAAAACAGAGGAGATTTACAGTGGATATAAGGAAGAGCTGTTTTACAATAACGGTGTGACACAGTGGCACAGGTTGTCCAGAGAGGTGGGGGAGTCACCATCCCTGGAGGTACTGCAGAGCCATGGGGATGTGGCTCTGAGGGATGTTGGCAGTGGGGGTGGGCAGGGTGAGCTGAGAGGGCTTTTCCAACCTCAGTGACTGTGATTCTTTGACTCAGTGTGTGGGGAAAGACATCCCTTGCAAATACAGAGAGCAAACAGCTAATTCTGGACTTAATGATAAATGTTATCAAACTGTGAGGGTCTCTGCTGCAGCTTGGGGTGGGATCAGGTTAATCCAGGGCAAAGAATTGCCTGGAAAAACCAATTCAGACCTGTTTCTGTCTGCTTTTAAATATCAACAGTGGCTGTTTTTTTACCTTGTAAGTAAAATTTGCTTTTAACAAGAATCAACAAGGCCCTGTTTTGTTTATTCTGTCTCCAACCAACCTCAGTGACCTCAGCTGAAGAGGTCCACCACTTCCCATCAACCACTGCCCTCAGCACCATGGGCACCTTGTGCTGGTCAGGTGGGACAGCACAGCCACTTGTACTTACAGAGAGCAAAGCCCGCTCCAGATGTGAGTACCTGGGCTCACCTGAGGTGTGAGCACTTTAGGGGTGTGGGGCACGGGCTCTCCTGTCCCTTGGGAGAAACGCTGCTCCAAAAGCCCCAGTGACTGCCTTTGGTTTTTACGTGCTGTACTTCTTTCTTCACCACCCCTTTTCACAGCAATGCCATTTGGTGGGAACTCAGCACTGATTGTGATCTGATGAAGGCAGGTGCAAACAGCAGCTCGGTCAGCTTTGTCCATCTGGGACATCCCTGGCAAGGCCCTGCTCCTGCAGGTTATGGGTTTCACCCCTTCCCCCCATCCCAGGATTTCACTGCAGTGAAAGCACAACATAAAATAAAACCAAGTCCTTAAAAAAATCAGTCTCACAGACAGACAGCCTTTGTCTGAAGGTGTAATTACAGAATAAATATGGGATGCAGACCAAGAAGTGCGGTCTGGTCAGGCATGCAGCCTCTTAAAAAAAAGCACAACAGAACACAAGGCTGTCATTTAATGCTGAATGTCCACGTCTGCAGCCCCCAGCCCCCTTACCATTAGGTGCTTCTTGCTGAAAATGCACACCTTTTCTCCCAAACCTCTGCCCTTCCTGAAGTGGGGAAGGCCCAGAGCGAGGTCCTGCTTACTGCTTTAGCCTCGGGGGAGCCGCGTGTCTGTCCCAATGTGCCCGGCACCACACAGTGCAAATTCCATGCGGGTGTCATGGTTACATGTGTTTAATGAGAGCAATTAGTCGTCGTGAAAATCCGCATGGGTTGGGGGCACGTTTTCTTTATGTCCTATGACATTTTTGAGTGGAAGCTGGAGAGCGTCCAGGAAGAAATGCTGCTGCTCAGCTGGAAGGGGCAGTCTGGAGCCAGGCAGTGCCATGTTGCAGGTGAGAGGGGCTGGACCTGCTCCCTGCCCTACATCAGCACGGCTCGCCCGGTCCTGCCCTGTGTATTCCTCAGTTCTCCCACCTGTCTGCCTTCTCTGTGTACAGTAGGAAGGGGCTGAGGACACTGGGCTCTTCTGAAACCCTGTTTCTGGGTCTGTCAGTCAGAGATGCCTTTGCCTTGCATTGCGTTTCATTTAAACTGTTTATTTGCTTCACGAAAGCAACGGGTACCCTTATGTGGAGGCGAGCACAGAAAGGACCTTGTTGGAGCCTAAATAGCCTTCCTCTGCTGTTTGCTCCTGGGAGCTTAAAGCTCTGCTCCTCCAGCCCCTACTCCTCTGTGTGCTTCTAACCACCCACAAAAGGGGCTGCTTGTTTGCATTTCCCTTGCTTTGTGCCGTGGCAGTGTCCTTGCCGTGCCAACAGCTCAGTGGCACCACGAACCGCTCCTATCCAGGCGTGCAGCTGTGGGATGTGCCTCCCATCCCAGCACCACTCCGCCTCCCCAGCAGGAAGCTCCCAAACAAAACACCATTCACTGGGGAAGCCAGGATGCTCCTCGTGCCGGGAGCTTTGTGTATGTGGGGTGAGAGAGGAGACCAACCCAGCTAAATGCACGCACTGCATGCAAAAATCCCTGCTTCTGCACCCTTTCCCAAGCCAGGCAGTATCCTGTGCCCTTGCCCCGTTGCATATTGAGGCCAGATGCAAGCAAAGCAATGGGAGAAAGGCAAACCCTGCTGCTGCAGGAGGATGGCTGCTGAGGCAATGGCATGGCTGCTCCCCATCGGCTGCTCTGCGCTGCTCAATGCCACCTCTGTTCTCTGCTCTGGGTCGAAAACGTGGCTTTGTGAGCTAGCTGAGCTGCAGCTTGCTGCTGGAGGCTGGGCGGTCCCAGCTGCTGATTTTCACTTATTTATTTTTGCTTTTGTCTAATGGTGCTGGTGTTGGAGCTGAGCTATGGGTGGCCGTGCCAAGTGGTGTGGGGACAGCGGAGCCCCTTGCTTTCCCCGTGGGGTGTGCAGCCCTTGCTGAGCAGGGAGGAATGGCTCAGAGTCAGCTTTATGGCGTAGGGGTTGTGTTCACGGTGTGCCTGTATTGTTGACATCAGGGTTGCTGCTACCCAGGTCCCCATCCTGCCCTTGACCACCAGTGGCTCCCTGCTGCTGGCTCCCCGCCTCTTGCCCATGTGGGGTTTGCTCCCTGACCGGCCTTGGGTTGACTTCCTCTGGGGCATTATAAGGGCAATTAGCCCTGTGGAAAAGAGTGATGCTGGCACTGATGGAATTAGGAGGACTTGACAGTGGCCGAGTGCTGCTTGGAACGAGGGCTGAGGTCCCTTTGCTGAGCACTTCGGAGATACCATGGCCACACTAAGCCGCGTGCTCTGCAGAATGTCTGAAACACCAACTTCCATCAAATTGCTCTCTGCTCCAAAAACCTGAGCAGCTTGTATCCATGCTCAATGGCAAATGCCTCAGTCCTTTAGTGGGCTCTGGGACTGGGGGAGACGAACACCAACAAGACAGATGTTTTGGACTCTGCTCCTTTGTATTGCTTTTTTGCCCATTTCTAATGAAGTCAAGTGAACAAGCTCCCACCAGGTGACGAGGTTCGGTCGCTCTGGGGCAAGTCATGGGATCTGGAGAGCACCCTTGCCCTGTGTGAGTTTACCACAGTGTCCCCATTGCTGCCTCACTGCAGCCAGGTGTCCCAGGAGCTGCATCCGTAACTCATCCCGTCCCCAGAGGCCTCCTGTGGGCTGTACTCCCATCACCTCCTCTGTAGGTCTCTGCAGCACTTTGTGCTGCTCTGATTTTTGGGCTTAGCTCTGACCCCTGATGTACCTTCCCCACCCTACCCCCCCTTCAATTTTTAAACATAATAAATAAATAAATTTGCCCTGCAACCCTGGTACACAGAGAAAAATGTAGAAAATAAATCAAAAGTACTCTCCCCACCTAACAATCAGCACTGCAGAGCACAAACTGAGGGGCCGCCTCGTCCCGCTGCAGGCAGCTCTCAGTCTGTGCTGGTACCAAGGCACTAAACCAGTAAGGCCTTTGAGGTCCAAGTCCCTGCTGGTGCTGGCACACCATGCTGCTGGCACTCGGTGCACACCCTTGGAAAAGGCAGAGAGCCACATGCCCATGTGGCAGCGACATTGCTTCCCGTGCTGAAGTCCACCCAGGAGTGTTCATTGTGTTTGGTGGCATTGGAAAACCTCCAGGTTGCAGAACACTCCCAGAGAATTGTCCCCTGGCTGGGGCTATGGATTCCTGCCTGCAAACTCCGGTTCTCCTGTCCTTTGCTCAATGGCCCTCTGCAGAAAACAGAAGGCACCATTGGAGCCGGAGCACAAATCAGGTTGTGCTAAGAGCTCTGGGCACCCATGGTGCTTGGGTTTTCAATCTCAGGGTCTCATCCTTCCATCGGGAGAGGAACTAAACAGCTTCACCCCTCCGCCGCAGCATCCCTGCGCCATCTCCTGATCGCCCTTCCCAAGAACCCATCGCTATTGTGAGGACGCCCCGGTTCCTAGTCCACGGCACAGGGTGACCCCGGGCCGGCCGGGCGTATGGGGGCAGCAGAGCCGCACTACGTGACCCGTGTGGGGGGCCCCTCCTCCAGCAGGCTGAGCGAGCGGTTGGTCAGCTCCTGGGCGCTGCCGGCCAGCTTGTAGCCGAAGAGCCGCATGGCCGGCTCGCAGGCGTCCTGCACCACCTGCGCCAGCTTGAAGGGGATGCTGAACCGCCACTTCTCAAACTGCTCCGAGGAATTCTTCTGCGTGGAGTAAATGCCGTTGCCGTCCTGTGGCGCCTGCGTGTTGGCACGGATCCACTCCTCCACCTGTGGCGTGGGGTGGATGCCGGCGAAGCGGTACATCTCCAGCGCCTTGCGCAGCGGCGCCCGCGCCACGTCCTCGTAGCGCACCAGCATGTAACGGCCTCGCAGCCAGCGCGGCTGCCGCAGCCCCAGCTCGGCCGACAGCCGGATGCTCTCGCAGTTGCCCCGCAACCGCTGCACCTCGTCCTCCTGCAGCGGGGCCTCCCCCTCGGCCGCCCACTTCTTCCAGCTCTCGTACTTGCCCGAGAAGGCCACCATGCGCGATGCCAGCACGGCACGCGGATCCCGCACCAGCTGGATGACGCGCAGGTCCAGCCGCGGGTCCTCGGCCAACGGCTGCAGGAACTCCAGCTGCCGGATACGCACCGTCTTCAGGGCCACGTGCTGCTTGCGCCGGCACGCCTCGGCTGCCAGCGTGACGTTGAGGGGCCCGCAGCGGCGGTTCTTGCAGTGGTACTTCTCAAAGACCTTCTTGAGGCTGGGCGTGCAGACGGGCTCCTCACAGAGCGAGCGGCTGGAGCCCCTCCGGAACAGGGCGGCCGTAAGGTGCTCCTCGGGCGCCGGCGAGATGAAGCTCTCCAGGATGTAGAGGTCGCAGAGGAGGAGCTGCTGCAGCACGTCCCGGTACACCAGGGCCGAGCCCACCGCGTTGGCCCCCCCTGGCTCAAAAGTGACCGTCCTCTCAATGTGCCACAGGGGCTCAAAGAGGTAGAAGATGTTGCCCTGCTGGTTGAAGAACTCCCCAACGAAGGAGGAGCCGGTGCGCGTGGTGGCCATCAGCAGGACGTGCCGCCGTGGCCCTGGGGCTGCCATGCCCAGCTCCCCGGCCAGCTGCAAGGTGACGTTGCGCAGCCGCGTCCTCAGCTGTGAGAAGGCTGTGTCCAGCTGCCGCAGTGAGGCCAGAGACCCATTCTCAGCTGGCACCGGGCTGGTCTCCGTCTCGTTGGCCTCTGGCAGCACTTGTGGGGACTGCTTCAGCTTGTCTGACACTCTGCAGGACAGCAAGGCAAAACAGGGCTGAGCCTACATCCCTCTGTGTCCCTCCATCCCTCTGTATCCCCATGTCCCTCCTTCACAATAAGGGCAGTGAGGTACTGGCACAGGCTGCCCAGAGAGGTTGTGGTGCCCCAGCTCTGCAGACACCCCAAGGTCAGGCTGAACAGTGCTCTGAGCTCCTAATGGCGCAGTTGTCCCTGTTCATTGCAGGGGAGTTGGACCAGTTGGCCTCTAAGAGTCCCTTGCAACTCTGACAATTCTGTGATTCCATGATCTCTGTGTCCCCAGATTCCTCCATCCCTCTGTATCCCCCTGTATAAGTTTCGGTGACCCCCTTGCATCCTTTCCCTGCAGGACCTGAGATTATCACCACATGGAGCAGGCAGGTGGCTCAAAGCAGAGGACATGCAGTATTCCCCTGTTCCCTACCTGGAGATGAAGTTGTTTTCCTTCTCGATGATGACCAGCCCCACCACGAACACCAGCAGCACAGCATACTTGCTCCTCATCTTCAGGCAGTGCAGCACCTCCCGAAAATCCTGGGGCAAAGCCGATCTCCTCTCCATTTGGATGGTGAGTGAGGGAGCTACAGCTTTTGTATCCTCTGCATGTCCACGCTTTCCTTAGAGGATCCCTCAGGCAGGCACCTGATGCTCTGGGCTATCTGCTGGGCACCTGCTGTCCTGCAGCATTTCTTCCCAGGTGGCTCTGGCCTGTGGGGACAAGGAGAGATATGTGGATGCCTTCCAGCACAGCTCCCAACATCCAGAGAGCTCATGCAAAGGGTCTGGAGTGATTCCCTTCTGCTGGACAACCATGAGCTTGAGAACTCCCAACACCATAAGAACACGGGGGCAGAGTGTCTCTGTACAGTTCCCACCTGGCGCCCAGCAGCTGCTGACAGCACCACTTTCCCGGCTCCCAAAATAAATCCACCACGGGAGACCCCTTCCCACACCTCCTCCTCCAGCATCGAAACCCAATCCCCGCCAGCTGCCTGCTGCGCCCAGCCAGAAACCCCTATCAGCCCCCCTGGGCAGGGCCTTCGGCAGCAGGGCTGCTCAATGAGGCTTCAGGAGCTTCCTGTCAGTGTGATGGGGTGCGCGGCTTCTGCCTTCCTCTAAGTACAAAAAGGAAACCTGATGGGGTTCCAGGAACTGTCTGAAGGCCCACGTGATCCCCTGCGCGCATTGTGCTCTCTGCCCCACACGCTCAGTGCCACCATTTTCTCATGTGGGGCCGTTGTGGCTTTGCACTTGCTGGCGGTGACGGCTGCCAGGGGAAGGGATTTGGGCTCTGCTCTGCCATCACCAGTGCAGGAAAAGTGGCTCCAAGGGTCAGCGCTGCCGCTGCCAGCATCCTGGGTGCAGCCAAGTAGGTATTTCCCCCTTTCAGTGCCTGCAGCAGACAAACCACAAATGATGCCCAGACCAGGGGCTATATGGGGAACAGATTCCAGCAAAACCCTGATTCCAAGCCCTGGGGCGGACGTGATTCATTAAATACACAGGCAGCTGAGTACTGGATCCCTGAACCCCGCAGAACTCGGGGTGCACAGAGCTCCCCACTCCCTGCACATCTCGGGGTCTGAGGGCTAGAAACCAGCAGGGACAAGGCTGGGAGCAGCATGGTGCCCCGCTCGGCATCTTCCTCTCTGGGAGCGCACAGCACGGCCGGGGAGAGGCACAGGCGGCTCTTTGTGAAGGGAACAGAGGGGCTCTGTGCCCCCGCGCTTCTCAGCACCGCTGGGGCTGGAATGGGAGCAGGCGGCCACAGGGAGCTGCCGGGTCCCGTTCCCGAGTCCCGCTCCCGCTGTTGCCCGTCGCTGCCGGAGGTGTGCGCGGTGAAGTCACATTTTCCTCCAAGTGACTCAACGGGCGGCGGGCGAGCTCCTCGAGCAAACGGTCTGCTCGCAGCCCTCGCCTCCCCCTCCCCACCGGGTTAATGGGGGACAGTCCGGCTGAACCCACGGGCAGAACAAAGGGAGGGCGCGGGCGCCGATCGCCGCTGCTCTTTGTCTACAACCTGGGGGAAGAATCACACGTCAGCTCCCTCCGTGTTACCGAACGCTTTTCTTCCCCGCGCCGGGAAACACGTCGTTACCCCGACTGCCTCCGCCTGGCAGCGCCCCGGAGCCGGGCGGTGGGATGGGGACGCTGGAGACGGCGCAGCTCGCTTCGGCCACTGGCTATTTCCTCCGCTATTTTTTGCACAGAATCAACGTATTCAAGTTAAAAAAAAAAAAAAAAAAAAAGGGGGGGAGGGGGAGGGCGCGGGAAGAAGTGAAAAAACAGTCACCTCCTACGCTGTTTATAAAGTTGCCCAGAATAGCCCTAAACCGCGGCCAAATGGGGGCCGGCGCCCAGCCCTGAGCAGGGGATGCGGGCTGGGCGGTGTCGGGGCCATCAGTCCGGCTTCCAGGTGACTGCTGCTGGGCTGGCAGGAGGCACTGGCAGGAGGCACTGGCAGGGGCTGCCCCAGCCCCGCAATGGGGCTTTCGGAGCCGGAGGCTGCCCGAGGGGTTGTGGCTGGGGCAGCGGCGGGCGGCCACGTGCTGGGACCCAAACTGGGAACAAACTCAGCGCTAATCGCTGCCGACACCGCTTGCGGAGCCCGCCGGGCATGTTGCGGGCTGGCTCCGAGGTCGAGTCGGGAGGCGCCCAGGTGGGCTCTGGGGATGGCACGGGAGGGAGGAGAGCGGCGGCTCAGTGCGCTCCAGCTGCACAAAGCCTGTCCCTGTGCCTCAGCCTCAATGAGCCCTTTCTCCGGGGTGAGACGCAGCATGCCCGCGTCCCTGAGGCGCAGCGCTGGGAAGAGCTCCGTACTGACGCGGTGCAGCGCACGGGGAAAACGCGGAGTTCCATCCCTGCGTTCTCGCGGCGGGCTCCGGGCCGCTACTCCCGGCAGTGGCACCCCGCCGCACCCCGGCAGCTCGGGGCGGTGTCGGGGCGCGATGCTGCCCGGAGCCTCCGCAGAACTCTCGCGGGCGCTGCGGCCTTTCCCGGCCCCATCCCGGTACTCCCGCGGTCGGAGAGGAGAGGCCGAGGACAACTTCGCCTTCCTTAGGGAGGACGGCTGATGCAACTCTGGGAGAAACTCTCCGTACCCCCCCGTCCCCTTTGCTCTCCGCACCGAACCGAGGCTGCGGCGCGGCTCGTCCCGACCCCGCCGTCTGCTCCCCAGGAGACTCGGGGGCTCCGGGGGTTGCCGGTCCCGGCGGGGAGAGCGGCGAGAGCTCTCCCTTCGCAGACAAAGGCGCGGTCGGAGGCGGCACAAAGGAGCCCGGCAGCCGCTCGCCGAGGGGCCGGGGGAAGGGGGCGAGGGGGGAGCGGAACGCGGAGCCCCCCGGCCCCTCCCGCCGGAGCAGAGAGCCCCGGCCCCGCCGCCCCCAGCCGGCCCCGCGCCCCCCGCCCGTACCTACCCGCGAGGGCCCGGTCGTGCGGTGCGGCGGGGCGGGCGGCGGGGGCCCTGCTTTTCTTCACGGCGCTGTCATCTCCCTCCCTCCCTTTTCCCTGCCTCTTTCCCTCCCTCCTTCCTTCCTTCCTTCCTCCCGGGGTGCCGGCGGGGGGAGCTGGGCCGGGGCGGGGCCGGCTCGGGGCATCCTGCCGGCTGCATCCCGCACCTCGTCGGGAAAAGTTTCTCTGGGTGCCCGGCCCGCTCCTCCGTCGCCGGCTGCTCCGAGCCCCGAGCCCCGCAGCACCAGGGGCAGAATTCGTATGCAGAAATCTGTGTGTCCCACTACGAGCAACGAAGGACGTCTGGCTCTGCAGGCAGAAAGAGAAGAAAAAACTAGTCCCCATACAGCGTCTCAGCCCCGTTCGCATTCCTGACACAGCTCTTCCAGGCATCAGGAAGAAACACACTTGCTGGCGTCGGCGTGCCGCTCGTTAGCAGGTCCCCATTAACGAAGTTACCGTGGAGCGCCCTGCCCTGCGCCCGGAGTGCCAGCACTGCGCTCCCAGCAGGGCTGTGCATGCACCAACCTGTGCGAGGTACACGCACCGCTGTGTGCACCGATGGCAGCGCCCGGCGGGTGGAGCAGCTTGTGAGCAGCCCGGCTCAGCCTCTACCCGCTGACCCCAGCCACCTCTTTCCCCTTCCCGGGAACTTTTTGGGCATTTTCAGCTCCTCGCTTACTGTTCCAGTGTTGCGTTTGGGCAAGTGGTGAAAATGCTTCATACTGCACTCCCTGCCCGTTTTCTACCCCATATCTGTGCTGGGGACCGCGCCCAGCTGTAAGGAAGCTGTAAGGAAGCCCGGCCCGGCCTTCTGTCTGTGAAAGCAGCGCAGTTTGTCTGGATATTCACCCATGGACTGGGAGCTGCCAAACTGTCCTCACATCCCCATGCGCTGCCCAGTGCCATCTGGCAGCCCCAGTGCTGTGGAGTGGGGACTCCGTTCCCTTCCATGCATCCCTCAGGGTGCTTTAGGGGTTCGTTTTCCAGGAGGACGTGGCCGTAGGACTGGGAAGGCTTCCTCCTGTCTTAGCTCCAAGGGTTCATTCTCGATTTGTTTCACAGAATCAATTTCAACCCCTTGGTTGAAAAGGACCTCAAAGATCATCTAGTTTCAACCCCCCTGCTATGTGCTGGGTCACCAACCACCAAACCAGGCTGCCCAGAGCCACATCCAGCCTGGCCTCGAATGCATCCAGGGATGGGGCATCCACAACCTCTTGGGCAACCTGTCCCAGTGTGTCAGCACCCTCTGAGTGACAAGCAGCCAGTGCTAGAGCCAAGCAGGAGCCCGGTTTTCCAACCACATGCGCACCTCAGGTGCTGGCATGCCATCTTTACCAGCTTGCTGCCTGCAGCATGCTGTGGCTGATGCAGCAGTCACGGTGAAACAGCGGCACCCAGAGCCTCACGCAGCGGAGGGTAATGACGAGGTGCCTAAGGGCCACCAGCAGGCGACCCCAGAGAACACTGCTGCTGGCCGCTTGGGCCGCCTCCTGCCCCGTATCCGCTTCCTGCAAGCCCAGCAAACGCCACTAATCGGAGCTCCCCAGGGCGATTTGCAGCCGATCTCCCTGTTTTTGGCTCCCCCCAGCGGATGTGCCCGATCCTAGTGGACGTAATTCGGATGGGAGGCTGGGGCCGGCTCTGAGCCTCACTCACCATCTCCCCCTCCCCCCCCCAGCAACGAGGAGGCCCTAGGGCTCTGGATTTTCTGTTCCTTTTTCGGTTCTGCTTTTCTAAAACTGCCGGGGTGCAACTAAGAAGTTGCTACATTGTAGCCCTCTTTATTTTATTTGCATTTGTAATAATTGTAAACACTTTCATCACCTGCCATGCAGAGGCTCCTACTGATGCCAAGAGAACAGCACAGTGGGAGGATGTCTGGTAGAAAGAGTGATCCTGAAGCAGCGACCCCAGTGAGCAGTGCCCTGGAGGCTGTGGCCCTGCACCTGTCCTCCTTCCCATGGCCTTTCTACAGCAGGTGCTCGTCACCAACATGGTGGCCAAGCCAGGCACGTGCTTTTACCACCAAATAATGCATTTTCCATTCCTTTATTGTGAGGAAGTGGGCAGCTGTCAGCTCGAAATCAGAACCCCAAAAGCACAGCATCTGCCAGCATCTTCAGCTGGGCAAAATGCAGGTTCCCTGCTGCCTACAAAGACAAGGGAGGGGAAAGCATGCCAAAACATGGTTTGTCCAACTCTCTCCCCTCCAAAAGAAGGAAGTGAGAACCACAGAGCATTGAGCAAATAGAAGTACTCAGCACCAGGAAAACCCCAAGGGTGACTCTGCAGCTCAGGTGTGTGGGCCCCTCCATGGCAGCTCTCCTCTTTTTCATTTCACCACATGACCCCCAGACCGACTGGACCCCAGCATATGTCCCCTTTCCCCTCCTTTGTGTCACTTGCAGCCATGTGAGCCTGAAGCCTCATTTTGCATTGCTTTTCCTGTGCTGGGTGAGCTTCCAGCTGCTTCGGGATCTGATTGGGTCCACATAGGGCCAGTCTGTCCCCAGACCTGATGCACATGGCTGCAGTGCCAGAGGCAGCAGGGCAGCCCTCCAGCATCCCTTCAGGTGTTTTAATTCTGAGCATTGCTGCTGGCCCACAGCAACCTGATCTAACTGATGCGCATTGCTCCTCTTCTGAAAAACCCTCCAGGTCTGAGATTTCTTAGAAGGCTCTGAGCTCACGGGCGCGTGACTGCCAGAAGTTTGCTCTTCTGCCAGATTTGGGGGCTGATCCCTCTCCGAGCTCAGCCACTGTTTACAGAAGGCAGAAGGCAGTTTCTGACATCCCCTGTCATGCTGCGGCCCTGTCAGCCTCTGCACTCAGGGAGATAATGTCTCCACCTGGATATCTTGTCTGGCTTCAGATAGCCAAATCCTCGCTATTTAGAACACAATAAGGGCACCAGGGCAAATAGAACAGAGAGCACCAGAGTTGTCCAAAGGTTTGGGACCCAGAGGTCAGCTCAACCCAGTTTTGTGGCAGGACGGGGAGAAGTTCCACCCCAACAAGCGCTGCTGAAATCATAGAATCATTCAAGCCGGAAAGGGACATTTAAAGGTCATCTGGTCCATTTTCCCTGCTATGAACAGGGACATGCAAGGAGGAGATGTGGCTCTCCTTCTGCATGTAGCTTACTGTGGAAAGCTATGGGGAAATTGAGATATCTGTGTTAGAACTTACTCAAATGCCAGCTGTCTGCTGATCACCCCAGGCAGCATCAGGAAAACCAAAGAGGACAAAAGCGGTGTGCTCTTTGAGCTCCCCTGTGAAATAGGAGCAGTTCAAACTCGATGATCTTTTATTTTTAATGAAAAAACTTTCCAAATCTCTCAGGGTTAATTAACTCACATTTGCAGATCTGTTGGGGAGGACTGGAGGTGGCTCTGGACCTCATCCAACCCCTCTCCTCCCCCATCAGAGCACACAGAGATCTGTCACGGCTGAGCACGGCAATCACAACCGGAGGGCAAGCAGCTGTGGGACAGGTTTTAAGGGGTGGCTGCAAAGAGCTGAGGGGCTCCTTTTCAATGCTTTCGTGCTATGTACCCTGGGTCTCTTCATGAGAGGTGGCTGTATGCACTAAGCTAGGAATGGAGTTTGCTGCTCTTTCCAAAGTGATATTTGCATGTTTCTCTTTTGTCTGGGCTCAGCCATGCTTTTGTTCTGTGGTTGTGTCACGATGCCTGGGGTTGGGAGCTCCTACGCCTCTGCCTTCCCTGGGGAAAGGGAAGAGGGCTGTGTTCCCTCTTTCACATCTCCATTACTCTG